TTGTATTTCCATTCATTTTATTATTAATTTTGATATTTCATTTATGGAAAAATGTCATAAGTGAGATAATATAAAAATAAGATCATAAATTTCATAAGATGATACTACTTGTACCCTTCTCAGTTGAAAAATCAAATTAACTTCTCCACGTGTATTTCGCACGAACAATTTGCAAAAATAAAGGCCGTAACAGCTGGGGACAACGCTTAACTCAAATAACGTGACTTTTTTTGTATTCTTGCTGGTCTTCCGTACATTTGAATTACAGCCATTTTATGGACACAAAAGCCATGTGAAATTATTTTTTTTATACAGTTTTTATACTGCTGATTGTTATAAGATATACAACTTATAATGCTGTAAAGATAGATCTGCTTAATAACACCATTGACTAAACTGTACACCGTTTTCACTAATTGTAGGATATTTAACAACTTTAATGTAAAAATAATAAAATAATTTAAGAAATAACAAATAAGAAATAATTGTTTTAAAAATTCATTTTTTATCGAAAATGTTTTTGCTTTCAGACAATATTATCCATATTCATAAAAAAACAACCAAAAGCATTTGAAATTAAATAATATCTTTGTTTTATTGAGTTTTGTATGTTACAATTAAGAGCTGATTTTCAGGTAGAGGGGGTTCGATTAAAAAAAAAGGGCAAAACATAATTCGCTTTCCTCAAAGCCTTGTGCCTTTAATTAATATAATCACTAAATTGTAGTTTTCATAAAATTGTTTATGAGAGGGTAATAAATATAAAAAAATTTTTTTCCATGACTTTAAAAACAGAAAACATTTATAATAATTTCCATCATTTGCGGATAGTTTTTGAAAGTTTCATTAAAATCAGATAACTATTTTTATTTTTGCAAGATTTTCCTAATTAATGTCTGTCATAAAAAAAATTTGCTATAAAATTTGTCGTTTAGTACTTCCGCTGACACAAAGAGAAACAATGTTCTTTTTAATAAAAAGTTAAAATGTTCTAAAAAGAAGGAAAAATTTATAAAATACTTTGTTCTTTCCTCTTAATAATAAAATAACATAAACATTTTGACGATAAAGTTTTGTTTCGTCAAGTATGGGGTCTTTTTCATGCTATGCTCTTTTTTAGCGAGATCATGGAGGATACGTAAGGTTTAAAATGAATTTTCTTTCTTGAAGCTTTCATTTTAGCTTTAATTAAAAGCTAAAGAATTTTTTAAATCTATGATATCCAGTAAGCAAAATACTCTGAGATGTATTTCAAACAGAAATTACTGATCGGAATCGATTTTTTTTTCATTAAAATCGACCAAAACGGACATTTTTGACATCTTTGTAAAGAAAAGTTAATTCTCGGTTTAAAAAACCTTGTAAAAATAAAATATTCCTGAAACGTTATTTGAGGAAATTTAGTAAATTTAAAGTTAAATTAATCTGATTTGAAACAAATATTACTTATAGCATAAAAATGTTGCATACAAACTACGGGGTCTTGTCTTTCTGACGTGTTAATCGATTTATTTACATTCGATTGACAGCCGAATGTGTTCATAGTTAGATATGGTGGAGCAGACAATAATGTTTTGATGTTTTTCTATTTTTTTTTTTTGCCGTAAGTGGGAGGGACAACTCTTCAAACACATGACCTTTAAATGCTAGATTTGTACATCCATACTTCAGAAATGCTGCACATAGTTTTTATTACAATTGGAATCATCACTTTTAAGACAATAAACATTGCTGGGAAAGTAGTTAAAATAATAGCAGTGTCAATAGAAAAACCGTCCTTTTCACACATTTTTTTTTAAGGGCACGTTGCTTAAATTTGTATTAATCAAAGTTATCTCCCTTTATTTAAGAATTTGAATTCATAGTTATTTCCCTTGAACAACTATGGCGGACCCTTAAAATAACCGCAAGGCGGGCAGAATTAATTTATTTTATTCCTAAAAATATATCGGATTAATGCAATTTTGAGTGCATTGGCTTTTATTTTCGATAGCAGTAAAACATTGTCGCATCGAAAACACATGCTGATTTAAACGTAAGGAATTTTTTTTTAACTTGTTTATCACGTTAAAAACTAGAAGGAAGTTCGCGATTGTGTTTTAGCTTTCAAAATTTGAATTAACTCAAACAAAAATATTTTGTGTACAAAAAATGATTTTGCTTAAAATATCTAATGTTGTAGAGTTTTACTATTTTATACTGAAAAATTGTTATTTTTTAATATTTTCAGTAGCATCTACTGGTACTGTTTTAAAAGTTTTTAAGGAACTTTCAGTGTGTGAAACGAAAAGAATTTTTAAACTTGTACGATTAAAAAAGTGTTACTCACTGTGTTTATTTTAGAGAATTTGGGCTGAACAAAGGCGATTTTTAATGTATGAGGGTCGCTTAGAACTGAAGCAGTTCTCCATAAATTTGTTGAAAGAAATATTAGAATTTATTTTAATGAGTTGTCAATAATTTTGCAAAAAAAAAACAAAAAAACATGCAAATATGAATTTTAATGAGATTCTTTGAAAGACTAAAAAGAAACGGAAAGAGGTTCCGCTACCTTTTTTTTAGTATTTCGGTGATTAATTTTTTTTTCTTTGGCCCCCTTCTCTTAGAATTAATGAGATAGGGGTTGCTTATTCTGATGTACTGCGTGGTCCGAAAGTCTTGTCACTCTCCATCTCTATTACAAACTGTAGAACCTCGTATTATTAATCATCTGAAATAGAAAATTATTATGTGGGAGTGACAGGGCTTTCGCTTCACTCTCTAGAATGTCAGCTATCTTTTTAAAATTTATTTTCTTGCAAAATTTTTTTATACTACTTAACTGCATACTACACACGCTTACTTATTTTTTGAAAAATTACCGATTTTCAAATCTTCACTATCACTAATTAATTGTTTTCTATAGAATTTATTGATTTTTCTATTAAAGTTTTTAATAAACCGTATTTGAAGATTTTCTTTTAGTTGTCGCTCTTATTTACTGTCATCGATGATAAATGGTTGTATAAAAATAAAAATTATTACACTCCAGTAAAAAAAAAAATTATTCTGACGGCTTTTTCTCATCCTCTGAAAAACATTGACACGTGTCGATGTGTTTTTTTTTGTTTTTTTTTTAAAGGCACTTCGCCGGTTCTCGTAGAGAGGCTATTAAATAATTATCAGGTTCTCCCAAATATTGCACAGCTACTTGAAGTACATTCCCCAAGGAACGATATCTATTTTTCAAATTTCGGCTAATTTATCAGATTGCACCATAAACTAACTAACAGAACTGTAAAAATAACGGGCGTTAATTTATTTTCGTATGTGTATGTACTGTAGTAATATAGCATAAAACTAAATAAGTGAAAATTTAAAAAATTAAAATTTTCAATTTCTCTAACCCTTTTCTATTTAGTTTAATTTTTTGTGTGTGTGGGGTGGGTAATTAATTGGTTTGATAAGCTACATCTGCGAGCATGGTCTCTGATCGAGAGATTGGAGGTCTTGATGAGTGTGAAACGGAAACCACTTAAGTGCTGTTGCTACCAGGTTCACTCTTACCCGGAGTGGTAGAACCTGTTAGGGTCCCAGCTGTGGGCAAATAGTGAACCCACAAACAAAAATCAACAGTAGACTTTTATGATAAAAATGGCAACCAATACACTCTAAAAAGTATAATACATTTTTATAGTAAAATTATCAGTAGTACATTTTTATAGTAAAATTATCAGCAGTACATTTTTATAAAAAATTACCAACAATACATTTTTGTAGTGAAATTACCATCAATACAATTTAAAAAAAACTACCAACAATACATTTTGATCATCTACAAAATCTTCTTTCTTTTATGGTTTCTCCACTTCTCCCTATCCTTTGTATCTCTCAATATGTCTTGTCACCTTGCCACCTCCCCTAAACCCTGTTCTGTCATCCACTTGCTTAAGCCCGCTAGGTATGTCACACATTGCTTTCCCTCATCTCTCTTTCTGCCCTGTGAGTTTCAAATTCTCCAAGCCCTCCTTTCTCATTACATGTCCCCAAAATTTCAGCTGCCTCTTCCTGAAGGCAAATAACAAATCTATAAAATATATATCTAAAAAACATGTTTATCCTGAAAATATAAAATTGTATATAAAATATCTGTAGATGAAGTCATAAAATTGTGTACAAAATATTTCCATTTCAGCCTTATAACCCATGGAGGTTGATATGCTGCTAAACAAAATCAACCACCCAACCATTATTGGCCTCTCTAAAAAAAAAAAAAATAGTTTCTTAAAACCTCTTAAATGAAAACTGTACTGCTAATCCTCTTTGGGAACACTAAACCAAAAATGACAAACATTAAAAGTAATTTTCTTCTTTGTCAAAGCAAAGGTTTCACAGAAGCATCCTTAAATATACAATGTAATGACTTAAAAATAAATGCTTATTTCTGGAGACTTCTTTTTTATTTTCCTATTTTCAAATTTCATGACTAATTTCTTCTTATTAAAATTTAAAGTGAACCCGACAGAAAGTGGAATTAGCAAGTTAACTTGAAATTCTGCACCAATCTCTTGCATTCACATTTGCACTAATGCCCTTGTAAAAGGGATGAGTCTATCTCTTCTCCCTTCAGTTATTGGTCAAATAGTAACATAGACCAGGCTCTCTCACTTTGGGTAACAACCAATCTAGACAAAGAACTACTCTAAAGGAAAAGGCAATGCAAAAACATACCACTATCTTTCTCCAAATGTATGCTAATTCACACACATTAAAGGAAGCTGTGGAGAGCTATGATTACCAAGGTCCTGAATAGAGATTGTATTTTAAAAGAGAAAGTTTTAATTCCTACACTTTTCAATAGTAAATGACATCTTGTTTTAAATATAAATCTCAGTATTGAATATTTTATTACTGATTACGTTGTTTGTTCTGTATGTCTACAGATTCATTTATTATATATCTGTTATTTTTTTGTAGTTTTTTTTTCTATGTGAAACTGATGAGCCCCATACATTTCCAAGATGAGACATCTGAATGTAGTCAACAGAAAAAATACCCTGAAGGTTGTCAAAGAGCTTGATGCCTTCCCAAAAGTTCCTGAAAGTTACAAAGAAACCACAGCCACTGGTGGAGGAGGTAAACTTATTTCATGTTTAAAAATTTTTTTTTTTAAAAAACATCTGCATCCTCTTTCTTAATTTCATGAGCAGACAAAGAGTGATGGTAAAAGGGCAAAAGCAACTAAAGATGGAATGTTGTGGAGAAACACAGTCACCCACACCCTGAAAGGACATGGCTTATGAAAGTTTTTTTTGTCTAAAAAAATATGATTTTACTTGTAGACAGATCTGTATTATTATCTATCAAGATAACCTGCTTTTGAGATCAGCAAAGCCATAATAAATTGTAATTGTAAAAAGAAACACTGTCTTCTCTTATCTCTCCAGCTATGGGTTAAATGTTCTATCTTAAAATATTTTAAGATACATCTGCATTCTTATGATTTTTATTTTCAAAAAATAATTTTTGGAAAGTAATTAAAGTGTTTTTTATATTTTTAATACAAAAGCATTTGTATTTTAAAATGCAAAAAACTCTTGAATTACTTTTCAAAAATTATTCTTTTGAAAAATAAAATCTTTAGGTTAAATATGTATTTTAAAAGAAAGATTTTAAGATACAATATTTAACTCATAGCTGGGGGAATAAGAGCAGACATAGTTTAAAAAAACAAAAAAAAACGGTTGATATATATTTATATAAATTCATAGTATTATTATTCAGTCATCAAAATATTTTCTCTGACTTTTGGTAGCCTTATACCAACTTTCAGGTAAATTGTGTTTCCTATAACAAGATGGCAACTTATTGGAACCATTAAACCAACAAGAAGTGTTGCATAGAATGAAACAAGTTTGGAGAAGACGTCACAAGTGGAAGTGCTTTCCATCTCATCCCCATGATTGTTTCCTCTTAGGTTCCCAGTTAGTGGCAAATAGTGAACCCCCAACAAAAGCAAAATACTATGAATACATTTTTATATGAAAATAATGACCAATACATATTTATAGTAAAATGACTCACAATACATTTTTAAAGTAAAATGACCAACAATACATTTTATCTGTAGTTGAAGCCATAAAATTGTGTTGAAATTATTTAGATTTTGGCATTAAATAACCTATAGTGGTTCATGTGCCACTAAACAAAATCAACCAACCAACCAACCAATAAAAATGGACCACTTCCCCATCTCATCCACTATATTTTTGTTCTTTCTTGTCTTGAAGTGAGAACACTGCAATCACTTGACTGTATCCCTTTTGTATGTGAACACAATTCTTATTTTGTGATCTTTTTACTTTATTACTGTTGCTTGCATATATATATATTGTTTGCCTTAGTATTATTTTGCCCTGTTCTTTTTTTTTCCTTCATTGTTTATTGGAAACTTTGTTAATTGGTTTTGTTGAATATTTTTGCCACTTACAATTAACCATGACCAATTACCTTATGTTCTCACTATTTTCTTTATCTTCTGCTTCTCTCTCTAGTGTCAATCCTCACATTTGTGATTATCATCATCCTCGTCATCTCTGAAATAATTTATTACTCTGAGTCAGAGCTTGAATTTGATTATCTGGTGGACACAAATGTTGACGGGTAAGTTCTCCTCTTTTTGTTTCCAGATTTTCTTTCTCTTCTAATACAGGGTGACCCAAAAAAACGAACATTTTAACAATCCAATAACACCCAGAGTGATGGAAGAAAAATATTTTATTCATAGTAATTGAAGCCTTAAAACATCCCATTTAAGAAACAATGATGGAATTTTCATTTTTTTTTAAAATTACATCCTGTAGATGATGTCCACCTGTACGAATGCATTCTTGAAATATGCTGTTGAGATTCCTCATTGACTGCTGCAACATCTCAGCTGGGATATTGTGAATTTCATCTTGAATTCCAAATGGCGAAATGTTTACTTGCTCAAGGTCACTGTCTCGCAGTGTTGCCACTTGCTCATGTCTGGCAATACGCACTTCAAAAATTCCCGTTTTTTGGGGTCACCCTATATATAGTGCTACCAAAAGATTTGAGTCATATTTGAATATCTTGACCAGTTTGTTCATCTGTCAAGTTTGTTTTGCCTGTATTTTGCAAATGACCAAAGTTAAGCAACATTGAGCCTGGTCTGTCCCTAGTTGGGTTACAGTTTGGGAGTACCAGGTGCCGTAAATGTGTTGTAGCTAGAAAAGGTTACTGAATGAGGAATGACCAAAATGGAGGTTGGAAATGAAATGGTAATCTTTATAACATTAACAAAATACAATATGATATGAAGTAGGTAAACCACTGCTAGTGGTGGACTACTTAGACAGCATATTACCCTCGCTTACAATAGTGTTCAACATATTTATGAGGATTGGGAGATACCCATTAGTGTTCATAGGTATGGTGTATAACAAAATGTAAAGGATAATAGCTTGTTAATCAGAGGGCTGAGTACCAATTCTCATTGGATTTGTTCTCTTCACTTACACACAAATATCTTTGGGAAAGGTATGTATCCATGTCTTCTCCCTCCAGCTATGGGTTAATTAGTAGGACTTTTGTCAGTAAATCATTATTATCTAAAAAAATTCTTACAATCTACAAGTATTTTCTGTCTTTAAATAACCTGAAAAAGGTTGATAATCTTTACAAAAAACAATCATGTATCTTGCAAGAAGTAAATTATTAGAAGCCAAACATTAAGTTAGAATTATTCTATGTATTAGACATGAAGTTATATTCACATTCTATGATATAGGCAAATATAAATACACTTATTGTCCATAAATAAGTAGTCCAACCAATTTTTTATAAAAAGTTAATTTTCTTTTAAAAACATACCAGGGTTTTATTATAAAGTGAAAACAAATATTATACTAAAACACTAATCTTCTGTGTTTGTTCCCGAGATATTGTTTAAATAATACATAATACCCCAACCAATTTCAGGGTATGTACCTTAAAATCCTGTCAAGTGCAGTGCCAAATTTTATTAAAATTAGACAAAAGGTTCTTGAGCTAGGGTTGTTGTTCTGTTTTCGTGGCATTTTTAATTGGAAATTCAGTATTTGTTTTCAACACGCATTCTTATATTGACCCACATAAGTAAACAAACCCTTGCATATTCCAATGTGAAAAATAATGAACATGCATAATGCATTATAACGACATTATTAAATAAATTTAAATGCCCATAACAAAATATATTTATACAATTCATTACACTACATTAAAACATTTTGTATAAACAAATATCTCTGATGTTTGGCAAGTACTTGCTAAGTGAAGAAGCTATATAGGTATGTCATTGTAAAATGTAATATGACTTAAAAATTGTGTCGCATGACTTGATGGCAAATAAATAGATGCATGCTGTTTTGCTGTTATTATGTATTTTGAAATGTGAGGAAGAAATGATTATGTATAATAAAATGTATTACTTTAAAAAAAATTACCTAGAAAAAATGAAACTAAGCACACAAGAGGTATCTATTGTTTTGTTAGTTCAATAAATATGAATCTCTTAATGCAAACAATTGCTGTTTATTTTTTATTTATTTTTTTTGAATGACATTCACCTTTGAAAATTATATGGTAAATACTAAAATTGGTATAAATTTTTACCCCGGGGCTACTATTACTTGAATAAAAAGCCCTTTAGTGTGATATCAGTTTGAAATTCCATTTTAAAAAAAGCTTTTTCTTGTGTTTGATCTAAGTGATATTGTATAATATGAGTTATAATAATTGTTACAATAACTTACATTGCAAAGAAAAATTAAAATCTGTAATTAATAGTAAAATTGATAACATTGTTACCTCATCATTTTGTATCATGGACTGCTTTTAAATGGAACCCAATGGGTGGTCTAGTTATATATTATCAACCTTTTCAATGCTGAAATTTCATGACCAAAAATATGCATATATAGCAATCCAGAAATAAATACATCATTGCAAAAAGTGATTTAAAATAAAGGTTGGATTCTTCACTTTATAATGATGCCTGATTTTCCAAAATAAACTGTATGATTTCTATTCTTTAGGTTATGCTGAAGTTAACTATGAAAAATTTACAAAGGTTGAAGTGTCAATATCTGAAAGAAAAAGAAAGGAAAATTTATTAGGAAGATTATAAATTTTTTCAATTGTTTGAAATAAAAAAAACTTATTTTGAATTTTTATTTTAATAATTTATTTTTTAGAATTTCTATTGTTTGAAAATGGTCAGATATCTTTTGCATGTGTTGAAAATGTTTATTATAGGAATTATCTTAAGATTCATTATTTTTCTAAATAACGCTAGAAAGTAAGTAAACCATTATTTTGTGACAAACTCTTCTTCCTTGGCAACCACCAAACAAGATATGTTTGGTGGTTGCCAAGGAAGACTTGTACTTGTGTTGCTCCCCCATATAACACACCTATCTGGGTTTCAAATATCATACCAGGGAAGGCTATACTTTAGTGAAGGTGGCTTGTGTTTGGGGGAATCTTTTCCTTCACCAAGATGTGTTGTTTACGTGTATTCAGTTTGTTGTGTTTACTCATGAAAACTTCACAAGCCATGAATTTTTTGTTGATTTGGATGAGAATTCAAGAAACTGTTTCTTCAATGTCTGGTGATCCAGCTCAAAAGATATAAACATACAAATCGGAAGAAAATGTCATTGTTAAAAAAATTAACAATTAGAGGTGAAATTTTAAATTGTACAACAGTTATGGGAATGCTTCATCCCAATCATTTCTTTATCTACCCTTGAGGTACTGAGAGACATCTGCTCTAAAGTACAACTAGTGGTGATGCTAACATCTTGTCAGTAAATTACTTTTATGACAGACTTTTTCTAATGCACAATTGTTGAATGGATCATGCTGGGTTATTTCTCTGTGGGCATTCCAATAATCTGTCTCCAACTCATTTGTGTGCGTGTGTATTCTGTTTATATAGACTTCCGTCCAGGAGATAAGATTAATTAGCTGATCAAAGAAAGAACCTTCTGTAAGTAAAATAGATTGCCGTCCACAAAGTGTTTTTCAGTTTTGGCCTGTTTTTTTTTAAGTTTCCAAAATTACATTGAAATCAATGCAAATATGATGAATAAATCTCTAAATAAACAAATAAGAGCAACCAAAAATCTTGTGGACTTTTGGCAAACCTCATTAGTCATATCATGTCAACTTCCTTGGTGTTATGGAATTGGGAAGGAGATGTCAATGATGCTGAATGTTCAGAATTCAAGCATTTGTTTTTTCAATGTCTGGTGATCCAGCTCAAAAGGGATAAACACCAATCGGAAGAAAATGTCATTGTTAAAAATGCCTAGGCGATTATATATCTTTCAATACATGACTGACGAGGCAGATTTTTTCCTGCAGTAGGTTGCCATTTCTTTCTGCAGTAGACTAGTTGCCATCTGGTCTGTCCTGCTATTTACCCATAGCTGGGGGGAGAAGAGGAGGATTCATACCTTTCCCAAGGGTATTAGCACGTAAATGAATGTAATGGATTCGACTGGAATTTGAACTTGGATCTCAGGTTCCTCAATCCGAGCCACTATCTTTTACTCCACCCAAGGTCATTCTCCTAAGTATTTTATGGTTTTAAATTAATATTTTTAAACCAATTTTTTTTTTTATCAGACTCCAATCTGACATAACCATTCTCATATATTTTCTCTTAATATCGCAACTCCTTCACTAGAGCTATCCAGTCTCTCTCAATACCTCCACTTTTCATGCACTAGTATGACTCAACCAGGGCCGCTACTTTGTTATATCCTCAGATGTAAATTAACTAATTTCATTATTATATCTTAAAAGAAAACCTATTTACAGTATTTTTGATCTGTTTAAATCTCTTCATTTTTCTAGTCCTTATTGTAACATCAGTTCAGGATGTTTTAATGAATACATTTGATTTATTTTTTCATGTTATCATTTAATGTGTGTGGATACCTGCAAAGTGTTTCTGTGAAGAGCTAACAATTTTAATAAATTATAATTTTTGTTGCAGGAAATTAAAAATTAATGTTGATATCACAGTATCAATGAAATGTCATGGTAAGTAAAAGATGAAAATCCTTTTAAAAATAACTTTTGCTTCATATTTGTTCATTTTTTTAAGCTTATGATGAAAATATATATTTTGATCTAAAATCAATTTTTTTTTTTTACTGTTAACCCAATACAAGGGCCACTCAAGGTAGAACGTTACTGAACGAAATTGTAAGAGAAGGAGAAGGTGGAATTATGTGCACAGTATGAGGACGTGTAGGATAGATATTGGTTGACCCTGAACTTAGAGATCAAGAATGTAGTTGTCTTTGAAACATCTTCTCGGGAGTCTGTTCCACAAAGTAACAGCTCTGAGGAAAAAGCTGAGTGGAACTTACTCCTTATGAAAGGAACACAAGAAAATGGGAATGATATGCCATCCAGAACCATGGCATGGCAGGTGTTTATTAAGCATTTTGACAATCTATGGTTATTTCAATTCATCAATAATTTCTACCATTAATTCACTGCAGATCATTGCTACTACACTTTTGGCTAATATTTTCGGTAATCACACTTTTAGATAAAATATATATGCATATTTTGTCTTTTTATCCAAACTACAAAATTGTGGAGACTGTAAGCACCCTCCATCTCATTCACTGACTGGACAAATCATCCCACATGGTGTTTCAATTCCAGTCTGTGTTGGTGTGTACAAAAACTAGGAAAGATTCAGTGAACATTCACAAGGAAACAAAAGGTGAAATTAACACCACTTCAAAAAAGAAAACAAATTTTGTTTCCATTATGTTGGTTATTTTATTCCGGGATTCACTTGGCACAGTCTGGACAGAGTATGTAGATGAGACTTGTGATAACTTCTATGATGACATATGACATATTAATGTGGATCTCCCTCCTAACACTCCTCTGTCTAACTCTACATCACAATGCACAGCTTGCTTAATGGCAGGCAAGAACTACCTGGTTTTTTTTTATCTGTGACTACTTATGCTAGATTGAGACCAGAATTTTCTAATTTCCAGTCAAGTGGCACTTGATCCTGAAAGTTTTATTTTGTGTATGTAGTCACTTTGAAATTTTCCTTCAACAATTTTATGATCAACATTGCCATAAATATCTCCATGCTTCAGGCTCAGATAAAATCATTCATAGTCCACTTTGTAAGTGTACTAAGCTAATCCTGTGGGAGTGACCCATTCTATCCCATAGGCCACAATATCCTCTGGTTATTCAGATTCATCCAATATACAATTTCTCATATATACAAGGCTACATATAAGTTTTGATCAAAACTACACCTTTGTCAAGAAAGGGATCATTTTTTGCTTTTTACATCAGTCATCAGCAGTGATCCTAGAAAACCAAAAAATTCAAGGATTATCAGTATCACTTTTGAAAGCGGCATCTGTTTATTTTCTATATTTGTAAAGTGAAAGACAAATCCGAGAGGTAGACACAATAATCACAGCTCAAATCCAGCCATAGGCAACACACTCCAGATCAATCCCTGATGCTTCTCAAAATGAAAATGTCACTAATCATGTGTATGGGTGGAATTCATTCTTTAAAAATGACTTTGTGCCATATTATGTTGAAGGATGAATAAATACCCACATATTTTCCCTAAGCTGGCATTTCTTGCAATTAAAAAAAGAAAATGAGTGACTTTTAAAAAAAGTTATTTTTAGTATCTTTACTCTTACTTTGAATTGAAAGTTGCTAATGTATTTTCCCAGCATTTTTTGTATCAGATTAAAGGTAAATCCTCTTATCAGATTAGCACTAAAGTAAGAAATTCATTTAGCATTTTCTGAAATGAATTCATGGCAAATCTTCATATAATCCTTCAGGATGGGTTAAAAGTAAGAGTTGGTTTTTGCTTTATCCATACGGAAAAAAAAAAAGTTGCTGAAAAGACATTAGAAATGCATTTCATTCTTTCTTTTTTCTTTTTTTTTTTTTTTTTTTTCAGATCTGATGAAGCCTTAAATTATCAAATCTGTTTTTATGAATGTTTCCAATTGTCAAAATTTAAAAACTTTGTCAGGAATTCTATATCCTAATTTGAAAACATATTTATATAAGTACTAATATATCCCCCATCGATCCCAGTAAAAAAAAATACTACTAATTATATACTACACTAAATTTAATACAACCAACTTAATCCTTTGCAATAACTCTTCTCCATCAACTAGTGTTTTGCAAAAGACCAACATCGTGTATCAATTTAAATGTCCTTTGTGAGATTGTATCTCTGACAAAAATGAAAATATATATGTTGGTTTTACAACTACAACTTTGTCAAGGAGACTTGCATTTCATATGAATGATTATAGTTCAGTCTCACAACATTTAATTAAACATTTTAACATTTAAATTCTTGTCTACATTCACGATTTAGAGAAATATTAATCAACAATACTCCACCACAAAAATAAAAAAACAAAATTTCAAATTCTCGAAGCCCTTTATATATAAAAAAAAGATATGACCAAAAGTAAATAAAATCATTTATGAGTATAGCAACACTGTTCTAAAATGTTTATAACAAAGTTTTAAAATATCTAAATTGTAATTGTTAAAAACTACAATTAAAACAATATTTTTAAAACACATAATTACAATTTTTAATAAGAATTTACATAAATTAAGTTACTTCCCTTACATTGTGGTAATTTTTTCAAATTTTGCAGGGTTCATGCTCACACATTCATAACTTACATTAATTCTTTGTCTTAGCAATTCATGTCTGAAGATGATCTTGGATGAGATTGAAAATACTTGGGGAAAATATAATCTATAAGAATAATTACAACATTTTTCTTATTCAGTTTTGTACTGATGCTGAGAAATTGATCTGTTAACTTGAGAGGATTAACATAAAATAAATAGACATATGTTTAGATTATTCAATCAAACATGCTTGAATGAAGCTATGCTTCCTCAATATACATATATAGTGGCTGAACAAATCCACTTTGTGTTCATGACATCATCAGAGTGGTTTTCAAAAGCACAACCACTCTTTACAACTTTCTTACTAGAGTTACAATGTGGATTGGATATTTTCTTGGGATCCGAGAGCTGAATTCCAGCTAAATTTGTTACATTCATAAATACCCTTGAGAAAGGTATGAATTCATCTCTTTTATCCCCACCCACCAACCTATGAGTTGAATAGCACAACAGACAGGGTCCTAGCACCTTGGTTGGCAACCAGTCTACTTCAAAAAGAAATGGCACCCTGCTGCAGGAAAATCTGCCTAGTCAGTCATTAATTGAAAAAAACATGATTGCCCAAGTGTTTATCCCATAGGGCACTTAACTGACTGACTCCTAAAGTTACTTTCCCTTGGGGAAAAGTGAATAGCAAAAGATTGCATTGGTAAGGTCCCTCGTGCAAATGTGGAAAAGAATATCAGGGAGAGCAACCAGCTTCTTTAAAGTTAAACTTGAAACATAAGAATACAAGTCGTTCTCAAACTCTTTTGTTCTAGGCTGCATTTTCAGAATGAAAATTTGCTCATACTTTTTATCACAAAATTTGGTGAGGTACATTTAAAAATAAAAAATGGTGACTAATAGTGCATTAAATATAATATATAATACAAATAACTTATCTGATTAGAGTAAACAAATTTAATGAAAGCTAGGAGCTGGTTTTTCATAAGTAATCTCCTTTATACTGGGCCTAATTTGATGTAAACAAACCTTCATCTCATCAAGACAAGCCTTTCCCTTTTTCGGTTTTTGATATTTGTCAGAACTGAAAATCCTTGTGAAAGTCTCGGTGAAAAGGCACAAGTACCCCAATAGCAAAGAAGGTCCAGAGAGAGAAGGTAAAAGGGAGATAACTGCGGATTCAGTCAGAACATTATCATAGATAACTCTCTCCAGTTTGTGGAGCCTAGTTACTATATTCTTAATACTTGATATAATGCAAAAATAAAACAATGATAAAATCAGTCAATTATTTATAACTATTTATACTGGGACTCATGCATGTAATTACAAGTAGTCCATAATAATATTTTAAATTTTGAAATCATTTTTGGCATATTAATTTTTTGAAACTGTTTCTAAATCTTTGTCTTTCAATCATTCTGCCACACCTGCTACCCTCTTGTCACACCTATGAGGCACACCAAACTGTTTGAGAAGCACTGACCTAAAGAGAAGTAAAAGAAAGTCTGTTATGGCAGATTATGTTTGAAGACAGGAGGACCCATGTCTTCGATGAAATTCCGACATTTAATAGAGAATAGTGTGAAAATGTGTGAAAACGTTAGTCAGTCCCATGTGGATCTAATGGTGTAGTTTTATTTGCTCGGCAGGGAGGGAATTGAAGGTCAATTCTTATTTGTAAAAATGGCTAGTGAGGCCACTGTTTCAGAAATCATAGCACGACATGCAACTGCCAGAACAAAATGCAGTGAGGGAACATTTTCATAAGACACCAAATCTTGCCCACTGCTGACTGCTGATTTTCCTGTCACTTTTATTGACATGAGATAGTTGACAAAATCCTAGATCTGGGAAACTTGCAAAGAGGCCCATATCTGGGCATGCAAAGTTGTTCTGTTGCTAACAAGAGAAAAACATGCAACCAGCTTTAACAGATGTCAGCACACAAATGGGGGCCTTTTTTACATCTGCAATGTATTGATGGTGGCTTCCTTACTAACATTTTGTTTGAAGTAATATGGAACTTTAATATCTTAATTATATCATTTTTTTTCCTATTCTAATTACATGTGCTATACATTTTAGTTATTGTCATTGAAAGTTTATGAGGGATGTTGTTTTTATTTGGTACTGTTCTTTGTGATTTTGTAGTGCTAGTGTACAAAATTCAAAGAAGGATGGTCCTCTCTAAGACATACTGAATTCATCTCTTCAAAATCATTTTTTATCATTGATCTGAGAATGTGATTGTATATAGTTGACAATTTAGACATGTCTGAATGAGTCAGGTACTATGTATGATATCAATATGAAAGTCTAGATCTGACAAGGCTATTTAAGAATACGATATGAATTGGTATTTTTTATATTAATTATTGAACTATTTTTCATCACAATTTACTTCTTTAATTTTCTTTTGCATTTTATAGCAATTGGTGCAGACTGTCTAGACATGACTGGTCAAGATGTGCAAGCATTTGGTCAGTTGCAACAGGATGATGCCTATTTTGACCTGACCCCTGCCCAACAACAATACCAGAACATGCTCCAGGAATTCAACCAATATCTACGTGAAGACTACCATGCAATACAAGAGGTTCTTTGGTTGACTAGTGGTGTTGCATCTCTGGCTGCATCAATGCCTGACCGGTAAGTGGACTGTGGTTAATTTAGTTCACCAGTCGTTTGTGATAACTGAAATGGATTAAGGTGCTTGTTTTTTGGTCTTCTCTGACTCTTATGAAGATAAAGTGTTGTTCGTGCTCAAAAATGAAAAAAAATCAAACTACCTCCACACACACACACCCAGTGCCTTTAGCCTTGTTGGGAATAGAGAAGTAATGTACCTTTACCAAACCCTTTTACTAAATTTGTCAATTTGTCTGATTAGTTGTTATTGTAACTTTCCCCTCTTCTACCACTTTCCACTGGTCTGTTTCATGAGATGTTGTAGTGTTGCAGCTCAGAGAAGACACTAGGGTCGTTCTCAGGGTGCAGCTTCTTCTAGTCAAATACTTGTGGCTTAAAAATAACCATTCAGTTAGATTGTTACCCAGAAATGAAAACCATGAGCTGATTGTACTAGTAAGCAGATTTTTATTCATGGAATTTTAACCTACTGTTATAGACGAGTGAAGCTGAGATGAGGCATGGCTGAGAGGGGGAGGTAAACAGTCTAACAAGTGTCTTCTATTTTGTGTCATTATTCAGAGGATCACCTCTTTGCTTCATCTCTCTTACTTTTCACAGGCCCTAGTCCACCTTATAGATAACCTTGTTCTTTGTCTTTTCATCTTCAGTAACCTTCCTTGTCCAAGCTGCTTGCTAGGGAACTTGTAAAGCCCACTTTACTTACTGATAACCATGGGTGAGGAAAGGGGATAAATATTCCAGATTCATTTTTGGGACAGGTCCAGCTGTTTTTGGGGAACAGTGTAGAGATATCAGCTGACTGATTGATTGATTGATTTTCTATGGCTTATCAACCCTTGGCAGTTTATTTAAAGCCAGAAAATATTTTTAGATTGTTAGAATTATTTTTTTTATTTTATTTTATTTTTTTTGATATAATAATAATAATTTAGTGATAAAAGTCTTACTAATTAAGACATAGCTGTGAGAGAAGATGTGGATTCATACTCATATCTAATCAGATTTTGATAAACTGACAAGAAATTATAACATGGACATAAAGTAGGGGATCAATATATAAACTGATCCCTCATTTTATAACCACAGTAGTTTCTATACATTTACATTCCAGAGAATGTAAATAAGTCTAAAAGACCCACCTGTATAGCTAATCAGTATTTAATTAATTGAATGATTTGTTTTCTATGACTTATTAGCCCTTTGCAGATTATTTAAAGCTAGAAAATATTTTTAGAATGTAATGTAAGAATTTTTTTTTTTTTTTTTTTTTTTATAATAATGATTTAGGGATAAAGTTTTAGTAGTTCATCCATAGCTTGGGGGAGAAGTGGATTCATACCTTTCCCAAGTGTATTTGTGCCTAAGTGAATATAATGAACCCAGCAGTCAACCAATTAGGGACTAACCGGGCTTGATGTTGTTTAACTGTAGTAGTTGTACATGAACCTGTATTTTATCATGATGCGGCTGTAAGCCTAATTAGTGGTATGGAACTGACAATCTGAATTCAAATTCTGGGCTAGTTGCTTACATTTACTCTGACATGAATGCCTTTACAGAGGGAGGAATCCATCTCATATCATCTCTCCCCCCCACCAGTTATGGGTTAAATAGCAGTTCTCTTTAGTTCTTTTCACTAAATTGAGTTCTCAAGTTTAGGAGTAAGTAATTCTTATATTGGTAACCCAGGTATTGAGTAACAAATTTTATCTACCATTTACAAAAAAATCCTCTACTAAAGAATTAGAAAGCTTATAAAACATTTCCGTTATATTTTACAGTGATTATAAAAGAAGTGGACCTCCAGATGCCTGCCGCATTCATGGTTCTTTATCAGTTAATCGAGTGGCTGGCAACTTCCATATCACAGCAGGAAAGTGAGTGTGTTTCATTGTGTATTTTTATATTTAATGGTTTTCTTATTTCAACATTTTCTACTTTGTTACATATTACATCCAATTCTACTAGTAAAACTATTCTTTTCTCTATCATGCTATCACTATTTTAAATCATTTTAAACTGTTTGTATTAATTGTATTTTATTTTTTGTAATGCTACCAATGATGTTGGACTCTGTCAATGCCTCTGACAAACTGAATTTATAGGCTTCAATCAGCAAGGTTCGGTACAAACTATCTCAGGTCAATCAACAAAATTTGTTGAATCTGTTACGTACCTAGGCAGAGAGATAAATTCTACTGAAAAGTGTGAAAATTTGCATAGCTAAAGCCTGGGCCGCTTTGAATCAAATGGATGTAATTTGGAAATCTGGTCTACAGACAACCTCAAATAGAAATTCTTTCATGCCACTGTAGAGACGTTGTTAATGTATGGTACCACTGTGTTAAATTATATTAAGTTAAAACAAAAAAAGTAATTTATGCACTTTTGTTGGTGTTACCTTGATTTCTCCTTCTTTGTGTATGTATATATATATATATATATATATATATATATATGTGTGTGTATGTATGCACCTGTACATGTGGGTATGTGTAAAATGTCATGGTTATTTTCCCATTTTCTTAATTTTCCTATTCTCTCTCACTATTATTTTTCTTCTCTTTTTTTTTTTTTTTTCTCTTTTGGCTCTGAGAGTCAAAGATAATGTAGCAATGTAATTTCTGGTATCACAGGATTTTTTAGGCTAATTTGAATAGTTTGGGGTTTTCTTAAGTTTTGGAAAATAACAAAATTGAGAAAATTGGCAGTCAATTGCCTATACCTCCTGACAAGTAGACCAAACAATTACAAAAAGTTTGTCTACTAATTTGGAGTTTAGGTGCTGAATATAAAATCAGTCAGCTAAGTGAAAATTTTATATTTGTATTAATCATATATATATATATATATATATATATATAATTTATATGTGTGTGTTGTAACTCTCAGATTGTTATTTTATGATTGCTAAATAAATAAGCAGTAATCACTTCACTTGTTGTAAGATAATGATATGAGAGTTGCAATAAAATGCCACAAAAATGAGTGAAAGATAAATTCCAAAATAAAAAAAAGAAAGAAATTCTAAAATTATTACATCTCTTTCCATCCCAATTCAATAATGTTTGCCTGGATTTCTGAGATGAGAATAAGTTACATTTGGAAATTAAAATGTAAGAAATACTTGTTATATTATTTATATTTGGATGACTCTCCTCATTTCTCTTGTTATTATCACAATGTTTCGACTGTTATACTTTCCAGCCTTCCTCAGCTGTCAGTTGATCTGGGCAACCTTCAGGAAATTTTGGACTAAACCCTTTGTTTAATCTATGAGAGTAGATTGTTCTCATTCCACTGTCCACCTGATGAAGACTGGAGGGTGTAACAGATGAAACATTATGATTGATAATAACAATGATAAAGACATTAATACAGATGTAAATCATCATTATATCAATACTTTTACTAGCATATATATATATATATATATATATATATATATATATATATATATATATATATATATATATATATATATATATATATATAATGTAATGTAACCACATCATGTTGAAACACTGGTTCTTGTCGATCACCGAAGTTAAGCAACATTAAGCCTGATCAGTACCTAAATGGGTAACCACTTGGGAATACCAGCTACTTATGTGTGCCAGTGGTATAATGGCTTTGTCAGGTTTGTTATATTCGTTTATGTGAAAATACTTACTGGTGGAAAGGCATTATAGGCAGGCAGCTTTTTGTCATAAAGTGCTCGATATCAAAAGGTAAGAATAGAGCATTAAAAGAATTAATGTGGAGAAACTTATCACTTAACTGAGTGGTGTTGGTTCAGTCATTCCCACTTCAGAGTGAACACATTATTGTAATGGCTTCAATATTCAGGGTGAGAAATATATATATATATATATATATATATATATAAATAATGTGTGTGTGAATAAAGACAAGAAAACTTAGCCAACACATTTTGTCGTCTCATGTACTTTATCAAGGAAAATGTAAGGATTTTATTTTGCATCAATATTTAAACAGAAGTAAAAATTTTAGTTTTCCACAATTTTTAAATCTAAGAATGCTCAGAAATATACATCAGGGTAACTGAAAATTAAGGTAATTTATGGGGGGGATTCTAAGTAATGTAATTTAATGTCTAATATATATATATATATATATATATATATACACACACACACACCTTTGCTGGCATCAAAGAATAAGAAACATAACTTTTATTTTATCATCACCTGCTGTTTGTAATAGCTTTTTTTAAAATTGGAAATGGGTCTGTCATGGAAGTGTTCAGGTTTCCAAGGATAAAGAATGCAAATTTAAATCTCACCTGAGGTTAATTCTTTATTTTTGATCCATGCTGTTTATTTAAGATTTGTAGAACAATAGCTTGACAGTTGGAATAAAAAAAGCAAGAGAAATAGATGAGATAAATCAGAAATTAATGATTTACAATGCTTCATCTAAGAAATTTGGCCCACTTAAGACTATTATATTCTATTACAGATGTACAGTAACAAAAAAATTAAGGTGAAAGAAGTAAAAAAAGTAATGATTAATAATACTTCATTTAAAAAACAACCTGTTTGTTACTAGATTTTTGAAGAAAGTAATATTTCAGCAATCTCCTCCTCCTCCTTCTTCTTTCAGATCAATTCCTGTCATACCTCGTGGACATGCTCACTTGGCCTTACTTGTGCCAGAAAGTGGTAAGGAGTTTTAACAATTCTTTTTTTATTATTCTTACTTTTGGACAAGTTGTTTATTTTTCATAAGAATTTTGAGAGAGAGAGAGTTCTTACAGAGTACAGTATACAAGATGATATTTGAAAGTTCCCAGACTGTATGTGCCAAGAGAGTACCATTCAATGAAAATGTGCGTACAGATAGTGCACATTAGTATCAAACTTACTGACATATTTTTTATCCATGTTTAATTATGTGAGAATTTGTAATAATGTGTTGAAACGGCTCTGCAATCTTTACAATAATGAATACTTTCAAGTATCTATATAAAATTTTGCATGGGGCCTATCAAATCTATTATCCTTTAAATGTTGTATCAGGCTTCTAATAGACATCATGAAGATGGAAGAAATTGATAAAATGCATTGGCAGTAGTCTTGGTTTATTATACACTGATTAACTTGGGCTACTATCACTCAATCCAACTCTTATACTGGGTTGAACAGTAAAGTTAAAAACTTGAAAATAAGAAAAACACGTTCATTTTGTATGTAGCTTTGGTGTAAGCACATATTGTGCAGCTTAGGAAAAGATCATTCGCATTGTTGCGATGATCCCAACTGCTGACTATTCTCATCTTGGTTTTTATAGTAACAACATTTCAGCTGGTCTTCTTCATCCATATTAAATTTTTTTAATTATGAAGTGTAAAAAAATTAAGAATTTTAACAAATTCTTTTTTTACAAACAACTTGAGATGAATTTGTAGTTCTTGTTTAAGTTATATTTAGTAATTTTATATCCTGCGTATGGTTGTAAGAATAATAAACGAAAACAAACTTTATCTGGTGAGGTAGAAAAGGAAACAAAATAGGTTTTACTATTTTTTTTACAATGATGTTCATGATGTACAAGACTCAAGAGGTAGAGGATTGAAGAGTAAGAGGCACCACCCAAAACAAGGTTGTAATGCCACCAAGACACAAGGGTCACTGGAATTGAGAGAGAAGGAAAAGACTTTTGACACAATCCTAAGCAAGAAACAAAGAATAAACCTCTACTCCTGTTCAAAAGACCAGGGAGAAGTGTGAACTGGATAATAGGCAAACCTATCTACTCTTGTTGAGAAAAAGAAATGTAAATAAATAGTTAATAAAAGTTCAGAGTTTAGGTGTAGATGGTAGAACTATAGAGTTGATGTAGACTTTAGAAAGAACCAGAAACCCAATCTTGTACAGGAAACACAGAATAAACTACTACTCCTGTTAAAAAAAAAAAACAGGGAGGAGTGTGAACCGGACGATAGACAATCCTTGTATTGCAAATATAATCAATCAAGGTGGAATGTCTCTTTTGTAAACAAGGCAGGTGGCCTGGGAGATGGGAGAGTTGGTTGTATACAAGCCTGGCATTGATTTATTTTACATTTTGGGGGATTTGTTTTGTGAGCTGCTCAGAGCACTTGCACAGATGGCAACATGTTTTTAATTTTGCTTTTGTAGCATTCATATCCAGCTGACATTTTTTTGGTTTGGAGTGAATTGGAGAGAGGCCTGATTTTGAGGAAGAGTAAAGCAGTAGTATTTCTCATTATTTTTAATGTGTGATTAGTTGCTCCAAATTTATTAGATAATGATAGAAATTTAATGCTTTTACTTTGTATTGTTTTGGTGTTTCTAGGGCTGATGACTATAAAGATATTGACTTGTTATCTAAATCTGAAACCCAATCTGCAAAAATCTTGCAGATATTATCTCCCTTTCCTTTCACCATGGAGAGGGGGGAAATACTTATCAAGTTATAAAAAAAAACAAAAAAATTTAGTCTGTTTCTACTTCTTGATTCTTCAAACATTAGTAATAGTATAAAAAACATTATAAAATATAAAAAACAAATATAAAAACAATATTATAAAAATATAATATTGTTAAAATAAAGCGGAGCTTATTCTATCTTTGTTACACACTGTGTATGAGTTTTCATGCACGTGTAATGTATATGCATATGTCTTTGTTGTGTGTGAATGACATGTTTATTCCTTGTTTCCTGTTTGGGTTTCTTGCTCCTAAATTCTACTTCAACTCTATACTTTTAACATCTTTGCTGTCCTGGGTATCACAATAAACTACATTCGACACCAATTCCTCAGATCAGGAGGTTTTGAGGAGCATGGAACCACCTCTTAATTGCTGTTATTCCCCGGTCCACCTTGACTTGGGGTGATAGCACCTGTTAGGGCTTCAGTTATAGGCAAATAGTTAACCTGCAAACTGGGGTCAAAACACTATGAAAATGTAAAAATAGGTTTTGTAGTAAGAATACCAGCAATACATTTTAAAAAAAAAAAAAAAATTACCATCAATACATTTTTGAAAAAAAAAAAAAAAATTACCATCAATACATTTTTGAAAAAAAGAAATTACCATCAATACATTTTCGAAAAAAAAAAAAAAAAAAATTTCCATCAATACATTTTCGAAAAAGAAAAAAAATATACCAGGAATACATTTTTTGAAAAATTCTTACCAGGAATACATTTTTTAATTTTTTTTTTTATTACTAGCAATACATTTTTGAAAAGAAAAGAAAATCTTGCCAGCATTAAATAACCCATTGAGGTTGATATGCTGTAAAACAAAATGATCCAAATAAGTCAAACGTGATTTACAAACAGATATCTTACAAAAAATACATATTCTATTTATACAAATCTATTGTAAAAACCTTGTCTGCCTTAAATAATCCATTTAGATTGATATGCCATAAAAAAAAAAAACTAAACAAACCTAATATCTCTGCATAAACTCTGAAATTTTATTTATTATCTATTTAATTTTTTTTTTTTTTTATTTCTCTTCAGTAGGAGGAGATAGGTTTGCTTATCATCCCCAGTCTTTTGAACAGGATTAGAGCTTCATCCCTTGTTTCCTGTTTAGGATTGTGTTTCCAGTTCCTTCTAAAGTCTTTTTCATTCTCTTTCACTCCTACTAGTCCCTTGCATCTTAGTGGCATTATTACCTTGCTTGAGGTGAACTGATTAAAAAAACCCCCCAAAAAACAACTTGACTTTTATTGTATACACAAGCACCCACTTACATCCAGTATGCATTTAAAATAAGACATTGGAGTAATATATTCCTGTCTCACTTAGTCTGAATAACTCCTACCTTGGGTTGAACAATAAAATCATAAATTTGGAGGCAAGAAAAAAAAAAAATCAGTTTCACAGGTTAACTGCAAAAGTCAAGGTAAACTATGGAAGATGCTAAGTGATGCAATCCTTCATAATTTAACTTGAGTTTTACAGTTACCTGAGCAATATTTATGAATGTTCTTAAATTTAAAAAATTGTAAAACCTAATGGTATTTTTTTACTACTGTTTATAAGTACATGTACAAAATAAAATCCTTAAATTTACTTTTACATCAGAGGACAAAAACACATTGGTAAAAAAAAGTTTTCCTTATATATATATATATATAGTTTGGTTTTTGCAGCCATCAACATCGACATAATGTCATCAACCAGTGACTTCTTCAATTCTCATTCATTGTCATCAGACTTCATTAAGATATATAGCTTTAACATCAGGAGGTCAATTAAAATACATGACCATGGATTCGACTTGGCGATCTTGTCGGGTGATACTTTTAGAATGACCACTTTAACACTTTATTTCAAAAACTACAAAGAACGCTACCTAATTATCTTTCAAAAAAAGTAACAAGCGTATGATGATTGAAAGAAAGGACATTGGGTGTAATGGGGAGGGTAGTTGAAAAGGGGGTGAAGGAAAGGGGCAGGAATGTAAGTGTACTGTAAATGTATACAGTAAAAATGGAAAGCAAATATGTAACTTAATTGTTATGGAGGATGTGGGTGCGTGCATGTCTAATGGGTTACAGTGTTTTTTTAGATTTTTTAATATATACATGCACACATACACACTGGGTTATTCAAAAAGAGAGTAGTTTTAGAAAATTGAATAAAAACTAATGCTAAGAGACAGAAACACATTTTAAATAGAAAAAGTTTCAAAGTTATTAAAATTACTGAATTTTTTTTTTCAACCTTGTTTCAAAGTTTTTTGTTTTTTTTTTCTGATTTTCTATAAATTTAAATTGTTATAATTTGTGTCAACCCTTAAAATGGCTCTTGTTTATCATTTGTGGCCTCCCTGGCCACCAGATCTTACCCCATATGTATTTTATCTGTGCAGGTATATAAAAGATGTGTTTATTCCATCTATGCCTGCTACTTTTAAAGATATGAGAGATCAAATTGTTGAAGCTCTGAAGTCAATATCCACAGATCAATTGATTTGAGTTTAGCAAGAATTGGAGGACCTTTTTAAATGTTAGTAGCGCAACACGTTACTCATGTTGAGGTGCATACAAGTTGAACAACCTTAAAATAATAAGCTTTGGACCTTTTCCTATCTTGTAATGTGCTGAATATGTTTCTGTCTCTTAGCATTTGTTTTTATTAAATTTTTAAATGTTACTCTTTCTTTTTGGATAACCCTGTACATAAGGTGTTTGTATTAATATTATTAATATTCAGTCCTCGTCTTTTTTAAAAAAATTTTTTTTTTTATTTCAGAGTACAATTTCTCTCATAGAATTGATCATTTTTCATTTGGTGAACTGGGATCAAAATTTGTTCATCCCCTTGATGGAGAAGTGATGGTGACAAAAGATAGTAAGCACCTGTTACTTTTTAACTTTCCAACCTTCATTTTCTATAAAAATAAATGGTGGCTTTACTCTTCTTACAGTAAGGTTCAACCTGTAAAAGACCCAGGAGCCGGTCAAGGTAGAGCGTTACATTAAGAGGCAGTTTATGCGGATAGGAGAGGAAGATAGCGGTTAACTTGAACAGGCTCGGATTGTAGCAAATGGGGAAACCTCTTCTTAGTAGTGGTTCACAGGAAGAAGCTTTTCGAGTGGTACTTACATCACACATGAAATACAGAGAGAATGAGGGTGGTTTTCTATGATGTGCATGGCATTGTGGGTTGTAGCCATGAAAGTTAGAACTGGTGGAACCAAGGAATGTAGTTCATCTGAACACTTTCCATGGAAGTAGTGATAAGGCAGTAAGAGGCTTGCCACATCCCACCTGTGAGAGAGAGCTTGGAGGGTGGAAAATAATTCTTCTGCAACAAGGACTTGGAGACGCTGCTTTGATAAGTATTGAAACATTGATTTTGTTGCATTATCATCTCCAAAAGTAATCACAGGTAGTGCAAGATTCGACGACCTCTTCTTTTTTTTTCCTTTGCCTTGTGAATCAACAAAACGCGTTCTTTCTCACTCCAATAGACACAAGGCCATGGAAGTCCTACAGAGACACAGAAGGAAGATTGTGTGAACTCTTCATGACTTTAACTTTGTTTCTTTTATTGTCCTTCTGCAACATGTCTGATTAATGCATTTATTGTTTGTTTGAATTCTATGTTTCATGTTTTATTTTTACCCAGACTCACATGAGCCCACCAAATATTGTTTGTTGGACAGGAAGGATAAAATGAATACCTTCAATTCCTGTAACAATATAAATTAATTCTGAAAGTTAAAATACTTAAAAGGCTTCAAATTTAAACTAAATATAGTGCTTAAAACTTTAACGCAACTCACATTTTTAATTAAATTAAGGTTTTTGGTGTGGAAAAAAAAAAAAAGATTTCATACTAAATTGTTGGTTTTAGTCTTAAAAACTTACCTCGTCTCACATTTAGTGTTTAAAAATTTATCCTGTCTCATATTTTTATATTAAACCAATAGTTTTAATATTGTGGGTTACTCCACTTGGCTTTGCCAAACGCGGGTTAGGTGGTGCTGTTTAAGTCTATAAAAAGACAAATATTTCCTTCCTCTTCCTTTTTTCTTCAAAATGTAGCAAGACAGATAAAGGTGTCCCTGCTGTGTTGTATTTGTTTCATTAACTGACAATGATGCACGTTTATCTCTCACACACACACATTCTTAATACCCAAGTTTTTAATGTTTTCTTTTCCTTTCAACTGTGTACACATTAATGTAACTTCTTTTTGTTAATACAAATATTGTTTGTGGGACAAGTCAGATATTATTCAACTTTGCTTGATCAGTGACACAATCTGTGGCCAAGTTGATCTAATGTGGGATCTAACAACATCTTTCTCCTGCAAAGGGAAATGAAGGTTGGAGAGCACATATTTTCTTAGATATCATATTTAGATATACTTATTATTTATGTAGATATACTCAACATTTTCGCTGTAAGTTACATTCAAGAAATTAAATCGGATCGGCAATAAATTTAGTCTCTTATGGCTACACTGTAACAGTTTTGAATATTATTAATATTTTTTTAATCTCTATTCTTTTATCACAGACTATCATATGTTCCAGTATTTCATGCAGGTTGTCCCTACAGAGGTGCGTACTTACAAAAATAATATGGACACTTATCAATTTGCAGTCACAGAAAAGGTGAGTAATTATAAAACACCAGAATTTTTTTTTCAACAGGTTGACATATGTTAAAATCCTCACAGTATTTAGTATTGTTGAAGTTATTGCTAACATTTTTTGTTGAGATTTACAATGTCTACATTTTGTTCAATTTTGCAAACCAATCGATGAAATTTGAATAAGCTGATTTATTTGGAAAAATACTTTGATAAAAACCCTACTTCACAGTTTAACAATTTCTTTAATTTAATTTAGTTTTACGGAACATCATAGTAAACAATTTTTTTTTTTTTAAGAATGATTATTTTTTTTTCCTTTCGAAGAATAAATTCTTAGGATTTCTTACTCTTGAGCATGCAACATACAAGTGGCCATGCATAAATATTTCTTTTTGTTCCCCCTTACATGTTTGCACTTCTCCCCAAAATTTTATTTTGATGAGTCAGTGTATAGCTATTTTAGAGTCATGGATGGATAGACTAACAGAAGTCACAGAATTTCATATATAGATTGGAATCAAAACATTTAAGCAAAAATGTTCAATGATTTTAAATTGTTCTTTCATTTAGCATTTGATTTAATTTTTTTAAACTTGTCTTTTTTTTTCCTATTTTTTTCTTATTTTGTCCCAAGAACCGAACAATTAACCACGACAAAGGAAGTCATGGTGTAGCTGGCATTTTTATAAAATATGACTTGGCATCCTTGAAAATCAGAGTTCGAGAAGAGCATAAGCCTTACTGGCAGTTCTTGGTTCGACTGTGTGGTATTATTGGAGGAATGTTCTCAGTTTCAGGTTGGCATTACCATTTTCTTATTCTTTCATTTGTTTTTTTTTTAATTGACTCAAGAATTGTTGCTTTTTGAGATATTTGTCTCTTGGAACTCTGAAATTAATGGAACATTTTAATAAAACTCTGAGATGTTTTCAAGATATCTAATAAGTTCTAACCAAACCAAAATATTCTTGTCTAGTAAAAGATGTTATTGCTTATAACAGGGGTGGCCAAACATGCTTATTGTAAGAGTTACATACGATAAAATTCAGATGTTTGAAAGCCTCAAGACATGAACAAAATTTACACATACGTTTTTCTTAACATGAAACTTGTGTTTTAACCTACCGGTGTCTTGATTCATATCCAGTAAATAATTATAAAGCTTGAAATGTTTCTTATTTACCTTTTTATATTAAATGTGATGAAAAAAAGGAACTCAGCCAACATATTTCCATGAGCTGCATATCAAAGCTCAAAGAGCCACATGCGGCTCATGAGCAGCAGTTTGGTCACCACCACTCCGGCTTATAATATTGCTAATGATCTAGTAGATCTAATTTCAAGACACTTTGTTAAATTGTCTTGAAATGTTTCAAATGTTTTCTCATTTATTCAACAGTAAGAAATATTGATTTGTAATGTGATGTCAAACTTTAGTAACATATTCTATGTTGTTACAGTTGTTATGCTTTCATTAAAGAAATACTAAGATAAATGCATGTCTCTTTAGAAAATCTATTTCTTTCCCTCTTGAAAAATCATTGACTTTCACTAATTTCACAAGGAAGTAACAGCTGTGAAATTTGATTAAATCTTAAGCAACTCCACAACTGGCATAAATGAGGCTTAAGCAACTAAAAAAGAAATGTAAAATTAGACAGAGTTACTGAATACGTCATACTGTATTCAAGATTTCTACCAATTCAACTAGTTTAGCTACATTGGAATGTCTTTCATTTCTATTTATTAGCTCCAAGCATTAAAAATTTAAGCAACTTGAGTAATGCTTCTTGCGATTTTAAAAAATAAAAAAATAAAAAAATTAAGCAACTGGTCAAAATCCTAAGTTTCTTCTTAAAAGAAAATTGCATAATATATATGTATGTATGTATGTATGTGTGTGTATGTATGTATGTATGTATGTATGACTCTCCTGTTGTATCTGACGTATGAGGATCAAGCAGCTCAGTTCCTAGGAACCGACAACCCAGACACCAGCATATATAATTTGATTATAGTGGGGAAGGCTTTGTGCAGAACCAACCACACTTCTTGAAGGGCTGAATACAGAGACCTGGTGCACTATGTGCCACAAGGTCCCCAAAACTCTACAGGTTTTGAATTCAGAGTTGTCGTTCTCCTAGACCAGTTACCATCGAAAGCTATAGAACCCTGTCTGTCCTGCTATTTACCCATAGCTGGAGGGGGAAGAAGAGGATTAATATCTTTCCCAAGAGTATTAGCATATAAGTGAATGTAATGGATTTGACTGCAATTTGAACTCGGCTCTTCAATCTGAGCTGCTATCCACTACTCCACTGTGCCTCATATATAATTTTTTTTTTTTTTTTTTTCTGTTTATACATTTTTTTATGGATACAACTTATTTGAGTAAATGCTCTGTTTTTTAATTAAACAGTATTAATTGCATTTACCAGCCTGAATCTTTGAGAGATTTTATAGAAAATGTGTCCTCTGACAGAAATTGAACCTGTATCCTATATGAAACTGTTATTTAATCTAATGTGCTATGACCATTCAGCCACAGAGAACTTCCAGTTTAGCAAAGCTCAAATTACTGCTTTTAAATGTACAACTTTGCTGATTTTTCTTCTTCTCTGAATTTTCATAGTTTTTTCTGGGGTCAGACAACTTTAAATTAGGTTAATATTCCAGAATATTCTGGGGGGTTTCTACAGGTTTCAAAATAATATAGACATATTGTGTCTACTTATTTTTATACTGATCCTTTCCAGTTGTCTAATCAGTTTGTTGATGTTAAGATGAAATTCATCAAGGAAGCCACAATAGTTTTTTTTTTTTTATTTTTATTTTTTTTTTTAACCCAAGTACTTTTTGCCTTTTCCAAGATCATCTTCAGGGGTAAAATTTCAAATTCATGATGCCCTTTATCAAAATCAACCAACCAAACTCAGTAACATTTTTCATTTCTACCAATTTCCAGTCAGCTCCCTTATATTGAAATGCTAGTTTTGCAAACAATTCCATAACTACAACAAATAAATTGAAAATTTTAAAATAACTATAACAGAGTATGTTTGCATGTGTTTTTAAAATCAGTATCACAATGGAATATGGATTTTATTGCAGTTACAATAAGTTTGTCTTTATAAATTACTCCTGAAGATGATCTTGAAAAAGGTTGAAAGTACTTGGATTAAAACAAAAACTCTGGTGCCTTCCTTGATGAATTTCATCTTAACATCAAGAAACTGATTAGACAACTGGAAAGGGTCAGTATAAAAATAAGTAGACACAATATGTCTATATTACTCAATGGAATATATATATATATATATATATATATATATATATCTATATCTCTGCTAACAGACATATCATGTTAAAACACTGCGAGTTCCCATACAATCACCAAAGTAAAGTAATGTTAGTTCTGGTCAGTACTTACATGAATTCCTGTTTGGAAATACCAGGTGCTGTAAACTTGGATGTGCGGGTGGTGTAATGGATAATGGCTCAGAATTGTTAATCAAAGTAGTGCCTAGTTCCAGTTCCCATTGGGTTATATTCACATATGCACAAATAGCCCTGGGAAAGGTATGAATCCTCCTCTTCTTCACTCTGCTATGAGTTAATTAGTAAGGCTTGTATCACTAAACCATTATCATCTCCCCCAGAAAAAAATTGTTTTAAAAACATTTTCTGGCTTTGAATAACCTGCAAACAGTTGATAAGCCAAGGAATCTGCAATGTTATTCATCCTTACTTCAGTCAAATTTCTCACCATTGTAATGTGCCTTTTCTCTAAATATTTTCATGGTAATTGTTCTGATGAATTTACTACTATGGTACCTAGACTTTACAAATTTAAGTACAGCACTAAACTGGCAGCAAGGTCTCATAATTTTAAGGTTGAAATGGTGGGATGTAACCATTAGTTCTATGCTGACAATTTCTTCTCTTGCACTTGTGGAACTCTCTTCTGGCTTCTTGCTCTACAGTCAGCTTTGATCTTCAAAAATTTAAAGACAATTTTGAATCAATCAATTGATTAAATAATGAACCTGACTGGAATTGGAACTCAACACTGCAATTCCAAGTTGTTTGGTATTGACCAGGCTCAACATTGCTTAACTTCTGAGGTCGTACAAGAACAGGTATTTCAACATATGGCCTTAAGCCTTTTCTCACATTGTAATTGTTTATCAGATGTTATTGTTCAGATATTATTCCTGTTTATTTAAAATCTGCCTATGCTCACCTTCTTTAATGATTATGTCTCTCATAATCTCTGACATTTCTTGCTTGTTCTTTTGATCTTGGTATCTTTTGCAGGAATGCTCCACGGTTTGGTTGGTTTCCTGATAGATGTCTTCACATGTCGTTTCCGTTTCTTTTCCCAAAAAGAACAGGAAAAGGAAAGTGGCACTGTCCAGCCAGCCACGTTAGGAGACTTGCCTTTTGACATGGTCAACACGTTCGTACCTCCAGCAAAATCAAACCTTCCAGTGTCCCCAACCCTGGACACCCAGTTCCCCATTCCTCCTTCATCCTTAACCTAACACCAACCACCATCTTGGGCCTCCTTTGGTGCTGTCTGAACCTAAAGATCTGCAGAATTTGACAGATGTGAATTTAGCTAAGATCTAGTTTTTTGTCATATTACATAGGCACCTATAATGTAACATAAGATGAAAGAAAAAAAAAGTTAATGTAAACTATAAATTAACTAGTTTGTTAATAATTATGTACAAGCACATTTTGGAATGATTTTCATTTTCTATATACATATCTAAACTTGATCATTCAAAACCTTACAATAAGAAATAGTTGTTGTGATATATGAGTGTATTGGGATCCAATCATTTGTGCTATATTTATTAACCTTTTGTCTGTTTTATAAAGTTGTGTGATAAAATATTAGGGAAAATGGTATGAATTGTATACCACCAACAATATAAACAATAACAAATAGTAAAAATGGTATGGCTTAATTAATTTTAAATTCCTTTATTTTAATATAGTAGTCAATTGAGTTTTTAATCTAACTTTAAAAAAAAGAGGATTTTAAATAATTTTGAATCTTAAGTTAAAAAAATGAAGGAATGTTTAGAGATGTCTGAGTTACTCTCTTGTGTTGATAAACAGTAATTACCTCTAAATAATATGAAAAAATAACAATCTCATTGGCTGAAAATCATCCTGACTTTCCAAAAAATGCCTTAATAATATTGATATCATAATTTTCACTTCTGTCTGTGCTTGAGAGATTACAGTGTCAGAAAAGAAATTTCAGTTTTAATAACAATATTTTTCTTGGCATCAGTCCTCATAGTAGAATGGCTTATAGCAGAAATGGCTAACATATATTTGTGTATATGAAAGAAGTAATTATACCTTCATTTTTTATTTAATAATTTCACCCTAAGCAAAGCAATAAAGCCACTAAAGATGCAAGAGGTTACTGAATCTTAGAGAATATGCAAAAAAAAAAACACCATTAAGGAAAGAGAAATTGTATTTAAATTTTTGAAGATCAAAGTTGACTAGGAAGCAAGAAGCCATAAGAGTTCCACAAGTGAGAAGTGTGGGAGAAGAAACTCTTAGCATAGAACTTAGTTATATCTAGCCATTTCAACTTTAAAATTATGGGACCATGATGCCAAGCTAGTACTGTGCTTAAATTCATAAAGTCTAGGTACCATAATGGAAAATTCATCAAAACAATTACCATGAAAAGACACAGGGAAGCTATGTTATGGCTATGTTATGTAGGAAAGTGACTGAAGCTGAGATGACAGATGAGGACCAATAACATTGCAGAAATCTTTTTTAGATTTTATCAAGAATCTGTAAATATATTGCATAAGCACCAGACCGATAGACTTCTAAATATATGAGGTAGATTCTGGCAAAAAAATTGCCTTATATGTTAGAATATATATATATATATATATATATATATATATATATATATATATATATATATAAAGAAAAACTTAACTAAGTTGAATATTTCGTCCTCTGATGAACATTATCAAGCCATATATGAGCATTTTATTTTACAGCAAGTAAAAAAAAAAAAAACTAACATTTTTACTTTTGTTTATAAATACTTGTTGCAAAATAAATTACTCATGTTTACCTTGATAAAGTTCATCAGGGGGCAAAATGTGTCAGCTAAGATAAGTTTTTCCTTTTGTCTTTATTCGTATTTTCCTCTTACAGATATATTGTAGATATATCTGAATTTTTTTACACACACACACACACACACACACACACTTATATTTATGCACATAAAAAAAAAACATATCAGAAGTGGTGCTGAAAAGTTCTTGGCCCAATTTGACCAAACATCAGATTTTTTTTTTTTTTTTTTTCAGAAAAGGTTTATGGTCAGGCCAATAATCTTTTAGCGATCATCCAGTTCACACTCCTTATTGGCCTTTTGAACAGGAGTAAAGGTTGGGGTGAACTGATTTAAAAAAAAAAAAAGTAGTATGACTTACATATAAATTGTCTATAACTGAGAAAAGGTGTTAACATTCTAAGCTTTGTTTTAAGAATTAAAAAAAACATTGTGTTATGGACATTTTGGCTGAGGCATTCTGTAGTGCTTCTTAGGTATATAATTTGTAAGGAAAGAGAAAAGTTTCTTTTTCTTTCTCTAGATTTTTACAAAGCAGAATGGCAACAAATAAAAATGGCTGCTAATATACCAACCAAATCTGTTCAGTCTAGCAATGCAAGACATGCAGATAATATCATCTATTGTCATTTATGTAACTCTGGTGGTCTTAATATATACACAAGAAAGCTGGTGAATAGATTGGCTGAAATGTTGTAACAATATTAACACAAATTCAGTTGTCTGAATAAAGCTTAGAACTTATATTTGTGAAGATATATAAATGCTTCTATATTTCTTGTTCACATAAAAGGTCAAAATTCTATTCATACATTTATGCATATATTTACATACAACTTGTATAAGGAAGATCTTCAAAAGTTTCCATATTGTTTTTTGTCATAATGTTTCATGAAACGTTATTAAACACACTTTTTAGCGTTCTTAAAGTTCTTTAAAGAAATGTCATAAAAGATTCTTGATTTCAAAAACAACACAAATCATGTTTTCTAAATATAAATTTCAGTTTCTATCAATTCAAAGAGGAAGAAATCAATTTTGTATTGCAGAATTGACTAAATAAATTGTCAATATTTTTATTGTTATTTAAAATTCTTCTTTACGTCAATCATTGCTATCAAGACATGCAAAGTTATTTAGTATTTACCTTATTTGCATTTGAAATAATGTCCTCATCTTTGTCATTATTATCACAACATTTCAACAATTTTGCCCTTGGATAGAGTTTGAAAACATCTACATGACCTTGTGGGTGATGAATTATTTTCTACCCTACAAACCTTTTCCCACAAATGAAACATCACAAAACTCTTGCAATTATATCTCTATTTAACAGATGTTCTGACTAGCTACATTTCTTAGTTCCACCAGTTTGAACCTTTACAGCAAGGGTCTGCCAGTCCATGTAGACAGGGACGAATCATCTCTTCATATTCCTTTAGTAAGAAGGAACTTGGATAGGTTCTTCCTTAATACTATTTGTGGAACAAACTCCCAAGTGGGTGTTTTCCTGATCAGTAAAATCTTGTTTTCTTCAAGTCTAGAAATAACCTCAAAAGCTGTGCTTCTTATCTCCTCTTCTTAATACAGCATTATTCAGTAATCCTCTGCTTTGAGTGGCTTTTGGGCCTTGTACTGAGTGAACATAAATGTAAAAAAAAAATCAACAAAAAAAATGAGGATATTAATCTGAATGTAAATAATGATAAATCCAAACTAGATTAAAGTGACAGTAAAAAAATAATTCTATGTATTTTATTTGTAAATTGTATGTGAAAAGAGTGTGGAAACTTTCTGAGGCAGCTTTAATTATATAAACATATCCTTAATATATTGTTATGATCTCTTGTATTCACAAAAAGTATTTAAGTGTATATATATATATATATATATATATATATATACACACACACACACACACACACACACATGTGTATGTAATAAAAATATTAAATGCATAATAATAATGTAATAAAAATTATAATAAACAAGGAAAAATATAAGAATCCCTGGATAATTAAAATAATAGTCACTTTCCTTTTAAAAATATGACATTACTTTTCTTTGAGCAAGTAAAAAACACATTCATTTACTACAAAATCCACTGTTCAAAATAGCAATGCAGTAATATATATATGATTAATAGAAATATAAAATTTGTCACTTAGCTGCTGATTGATGCTATATTCAGCACCTCTACTCCCAAGTTTCGTAGATGAACCTTTGTATAATTGTTTGGTCCACTCATCAGGAGATATCAGCAAATGTCTGCCATTGTTCTGATTTTGGTTATTTTTATATTAGAAAAATAATTTTTTATTAGGTTTATTTTTCTTTTGTGTGTGTGTGTGTGCATGTGTAGGAGTTTGTAGTTATTTTCTTCTTTTCATGATTTACTTTTCTCTTTATGCTCTCTCATTATTTCTTTTCTTTATTTTTTGGTTCTCAGTTTCAAAAGATAATGTAACAAAATTATTTCCAGGATCAAATTAGGTTAATATTCCTGAATATTCTGGGGATTTTCTTCAGTTTTTCAAAATTTCGCTGTATTCCATTTCTTTTATTTATTTTTTGTTTAATTATTATTTTTTAATTAATGCTTAAATGGTAAAGAAAATATTTATAAGTATTTTCCCATTTTTTTTTTTTTTTTTTTTTTTTTAATAGTTAATAGTTTGCTTTTTTTATCTGGATTGGTGTTATTTTATAGTATTTTCTTTTGGTTTCTAAAACTAATTTTATACTTCAAACAGCATTTTTAGTGTGTGTATATATATATATATATATATATATATATATATATATATATATTTTTTTTTTTTTTTCCTGTGTATTTAGGTAGGAAATGTTTTTAAAATCAAATACTATTAAAAATGACACATTTATTTATACAGGAATGTTAAAATCCATAAATAAGGCAATCCACTCTATGCTATAACAAGAATGAAATAGTATTGGTCTGCCATTTCAAAATTTTACTAAACTCCCCATTTATCTCTGCCTGCCCTGATGATAACTTAAAAAAATCAAAAGTTTGGACCACATTTCTTGTATTTTTCTTCTGAAATGAACTTTGAACAATTTCTGACAGAATTTCCTCTTTGTCTGGAGAATGATTATTTGTAACTTCGATCCTTATAATTAAATGGAACTAATGTCTATTTTATATATATATATATATATATATATATATGAGAGAGAGAGAGATAAAAATATAAAAGTGGACATTAAGGCCAGCACTTAGCAGCAACTGCCTGTTTCATGCCTTAAACATGCAACAAACTGTTGCCACTGGATGTTGACCACAATATCTACTTTGTTTATATTCTTTATTCCTGATATTGAACACATTAACTCCTGAATATAGCATAGCTTAAAACTATATTTTTATCATGTATATGTATACACGCA